TTCAAACATTAGTCATGATTATGAGTAGCAATTTTTTTTTTCACTTGCTGCAAATTAGATGAGAATACCATCCATGTGGAACTCGAAGAGAAGAAAAAGAGTAGCCTTCTCATATTATTCATGTGGGCATTATCACTTTGGCAAACATGTGTGCCAAATAAGAGTTCACTACTCCATCACGGAGGCACCAAGTTCAAACGGTTAAAACAAAAAGAAACATTGGAGACAACTTTGAAATACGAACTACGCCGGTTTGATTCCGTTAAGGATACGTAGGCAGTCTGATATTAAATTTTAGACGCAACCAAGAAATCAAAACGAATCCCTGGTTTATATAAACTAAATTCACTTCTGCTGCTTTGAACATAACCCTTGTGGGATAAATCCCGTGAAGGAACAGAGGAAATATTTTTTTTTCATCCAAGCATGATTCTCTACAAATTTGTCAGAAGAAAGAAGCTGCAAAGGAAAAGTAAAATTAAACATGGAGCAAGAAATGGTACCAAGCTAAAGTCAAATGTCAAAATATTAGTGGGTTTATCAGAAATAAACCCGTTAATTTTACTCTATGCTCAAGCGGCACAAACCACTTTAAATGGGACAAAGTTGCCTCAAATGGCTAAAAGCCGATTCAATGGCATGAAGCCGTATTAAATTTTGGTGGCACGAAGTTGCTACAAAACTCAATGGCCTGAAGCTGTATCAAATATCAAATGGCACGAAGCCAAAGAAAAAGTCAAATATCAAATGGCATGAAGCCACAACAGAATCTCAAATGGCATGAAGCCGAATTAGTTGCTCCTCGCCCGCATGAGCTAAAACTGCACAAGGCATTAAACGCTTTGATGGTTTAAAGTCCTCACCTGCATGAGCTAAAACTGCACAAGGCATTAAATGCTCCAACGACTTAAAGTCCTCGTCTGCATGAGCTAAAACTGCACAAGGCATCAAACGCTCCAATGGCGCAAAGTCCTCACCCGCATGAGCTAAAACTGCACAAGGCATCAAATCCAAATAAGTATCAAGTATACAAGGAACTACGAGTGACTTGATCCCTCAACGAGGGTACGTAGGCAATCTATGGCTCTACCTAGATGCAGTCACAAAATCAAATAAACACCCAAATCCTCAAGTTACGATTCATTCATATTAGAATCAAAGGGTATTCCTTTCCCAAAAGAAAGGTTGTAATTAATAGGCGCGTAGCCTAGAATGGGTCGAACTCAAACTAATAAAACCCTCTTCGAAAAAATGAACGAGGGTGAAATTGTGTCGAGGGAATGATTTGTTTACATATTATGTACAATTTTTGCTCAACAGCCCCTGATTCCGCATTCTTCAAATTTGTAAGCCCACGTAATCCGATTCCCTGCACTAACTTCTGAAATGTGCACTTTGGTAGAGATTTGGTGAACAAGTCTGCTAAATTTTCATTGGAACGGATTTGTCTAACTTCAATAACTTTAGCCTTCTGAAGTTCATGTGCGCTGAAAAATCTTGGAGATATGTGTTTAGTCTTATCACCCTTAATGAATCCTTCATTCATCTAGGCGACACAGGTTGCTTTATCATCATGGATGACAGTTGGAGTGTTTGTCTTTGAAGGTAGACCACATGAATTCCGGATGTGATGGATTATTGATCTTAACCAAGAACATTCACGACTTGCTTCATGTAAAGCAATTATTTCCGAGTGATTGGAAAATGTAGCAACTAGCTTTTGCTTCGTTGATCACCATGAAATTGCAGTATCTCCATTAGTGAACACATATCCATTTTGTGAGCAGGCTTTATGCGGATCGGAGAGAAAACTAGCATTTGTGTATCCAACAAGGATCTGTTCATTTGTGGGCTTGTCTGAGTAGAAGAGACCCATATCTGTTGTCCCACGAAGGTATCATAGAACATCTTTGACTCCCTTCCAATGACGAATGGTTGGAGCAGAGCTGTACCTTACTAACAAGTTAACTGAAAAAGCTATATCTGGTCTAGTACATTGTGCTAAATACAGTAAAGCACCTATTGAGCTCAAATATGGTACTTCTGGACCAAGGACTAGTTCATCATCCTTTTTTGGACGGAATGGATCTTTCTTAATGTCCAAAGAACGAACGACCATTGGGGTGCTAAGTGGATAAGCCTTGTCCATGCCAAATCGCTTCAGTATTTTTTCAATGTAAGTTGATTGATGAACCAAAATTCCATTAACACAATGCTCAATCTGCAGGCCGAGACAATATTTTGTTTTCCCAGGGTCTTTCATTTCAAATTCACTTTTCAGATATTCAGCAGTTGTATTGAGCTCTTCAGGGGTTCCAACTAGGTTCATATCATCGACGTATACTGCCACTATAGCAAATCCAGTATTTGATTTCTTAATGAACACACAAGGGCAAATGACATTGTTGGCATATCTTTCTTTAATCAAATATTCACTGAGACGATTATACCACATTCGCCTAGATTGTTTCAGCCCATATAGTGATCGCCTAAATTTGATTGAGAACATACCTCGTGGTTTGTTAGTTGCTTCAGGCAACCCAAGTCCTTCTGGGACTTTCATATATATGTCAGTATCTAATTCTCCATATAGATACGCGGTGATGACATCTATAAGTCGCATGTCAAGTTTTTCTGAAATCACCAAACTTATTAAGTAACGGAATGTAATTGCGTCTATTACAGGAGAGTATGTCTCTTCATAATCAATTCCAGGTCTTTGTGAAAAACCTTGTGCAACGAGTCGTGTTTTATATCTTGCAATCTCGTTTTTCGTCGTGTTTCCTTGTGAATACCCATGTGTAACCTACGAGGTTCACACCAGGCAGGGTTTGTATTACTGGTCTAAAAACACTTCGTCTTTTCAAAGAATTTAAATCTGCCTGGATTGCATCTTTCCAATTAGGCCAATCTTGTCTCTGTCTGCATTCATCAACATAGCGAGGCTCAATATCATCACTTAATATAATTTCCGTGGCTATTGCAAATGCAAACATGTCGTCGATGATTATTTCATTTTGATTCCACAATTCATTAGTACATGCATAATTTATGGATATTTCTTTGCTTTCGTGTCCTTTTGTCTATTTAGGGACATGTGTCTCATCAAGGACATTTTCTTTTTCTAGAAGTACATAATCATGAATTGTGGATTTATCATTCATTTTCTTTTCTTGAATGATTTCATTTGGGTTCAACTGTGCCTTTATCTTTCTCTTTCTAGGGGCTGAATCTTTTGAACTTGGGGGTCTACCACGTTTCAGGCATGCACTGGATGAATCATTCACTGCCACTTTATTTTGCCCAATAGGGACATCAATTCTTGCAGGTACATTTGCAGCTAGTATATGTGACTTTGTTACTTTCGAAGCATCATTAAATGCATCTGGCAATTGATTAGCAATACCTTGAAGATGAACGATCCTTCACTTCATTTTCACATTGAGTACTTCGTGGATCAAAATGAGATAAGGTGGGAACAACCCATGTCAGCTCTTGTCGTTCTTCTGGAACAGTCTTTTCTCCCTCTAACGATGGGAAGACCGTCTCATTAAAATGATAATCAGCAAAACGAGCTGTAAACATATCACCAGTCAAAGGTTCCAAATATCTAATGATATATGGTGAATCAAAACCCACATAAATTCCCAGTCTGCGCTGATGTCCCATTTCAGTTCGTTGTGGCGGTGCAATAGACACATAAACAGCATAACCAAAAACTTGTAAATGTGAAGTGTTTGGCTGATGTCCAAACACGAGTTGTATTGATGAGTATTGGTGGTTGGCTATGGGTTTCAGTTGCTGCATGTAAGATGGCATGTCCCTATGCAGAGAATGTCAATTTCGTTTTCATGAGCAGAGTGCGGGTTAGTAATTGAAGCCGCTTGATAAATGCCCTGCTAAACCATTTTGAGTATGGACATGAAGAACAAGATGTTCAACATCAATGCTTAGTGCCATGCAGTAATCAGCAAAGGTTTGAGACGTAAATTCACCAGCGTTATCAAGTCAAATGGACTTAATGGGATGATCTGGGAACTGTGCTTGCAACTTAATTATCTGAGCAAGAAGTCTCGCAAAAGCTACATTTTGAGTAGACAATAGGCAAACATGTAACCATCGGGTAGATGCATCAACCAAAACCATAAAATATCGAAATGGTCCACAAGGTGGTTGAATAGGTCCATAAATATCCCCTTGAATTCTTTGCAAAAATGATGGGGATTCATCATCAACCTTTAGTTGTGATGGTCTAATTACCAACTTCCCTTAGGAACAAGCCTTGCAAGGGTTATCATTTGAGACATCAATGTGTCTGCTCAATAATGGATGTCCATTAGAGTTGGTAATGATTATACGCATCATGGTAGATCCTGGATGACCCAGACAGTCATGCCAAAACATGTAAACTTTTGAATCCATGAACTTCTGGTTCATGACAACATGTGCCTCAATTGTCTTTATGTATGTATAATACAATCCACTCGATAAACTACGCAACTTTTCCAATATACGCTTATGGGTATCATGGGAGGTAATGCATAAATATTCCACATTTTCTGCACTTTTCATTTCAATGTGGTATCCATTTAGGCGTATGTCTTTAAAGCTTAACAAATTTTGAGTAGATCGAGTGGCGTACAATGCATTTTGTATCGACAATATTGTTCCATTTGGTAACATAATCTGGGCTTTTCCTGAGCCTTCAATTACATCTGATTGTCGTGATATTGTTGTTACCTTTACTTTTGCAAGTACCAAGTTCGAGAAATACTTTCGATCTCGAAGTATTGAATGCATGGTTGCGCTGTCTGCAAGACAAAAGTCTCCGCCATTGCTCTTGTTTTGAGAATAACCATAAATTTTATCCATGTTCTCTGAGTAAAGAAATTTCAGTTAAAAAGCAGTTTATTCATACTGGAATACTACTTTTATTGAATTGAAAATGAGAGCATGAAACCACAATTACAAATAACAAGAGTACATTAAACATAAATGATTCAATCAGACCCATAAACTTCATTCCCTTTTTCAATAATAAAGTCTGAAGCATCCATGTGGGTTGTGTTTAACTGTCCAGATAAATTGGTCACTGGATTAGGTCTTTCTATTGGTTGAGCTTGGTCGTGGAAATTGGTCTTGACACCCTTCTCCTTGAGGGAGGCTTGATACATATCCACCAGATGCTTTGGGGTGCGACAAGTACGTGCCCAATGTCCATTGCCACCACACCTATGGCAAACTCCTTCAGGATTTCCAGGAGTGTTCATATGAGCTTTGTCTTTCAGGCGATTTGCATTCTTAAAGCTTGGGCCTAAATTATGCCTTGGGACCTGGTTATGAAACTGAACACCATGGTTTTTGCCTTTCCCGATCCACCTGCCTTGCTTGTGGCCACGTCCTTGTTTGTAATTATTACCACGAGAGGATATGGCATTCCTTTCAAGGGAAGCAACATTCACTTTTGGGAATGATGCTGATCCGATAGATCGGGACTGATGATTTTTCATCAGGAGCTTATTGTTTTGTTCAGCTATCAAGAGCATAGAAATCAGCTGGTTGTATTCAATGAAGCCTCGCGCTCAATACTGCTGCTGTAGGAGCACGTTAGAGGCATGAAATGTGCTAAAAGTCTTTTCCAGCATATCTTCCTCAGTAATGGTATCCCAACAGAGCTTCATCTGAGAGGTAATTTTGAACAACGCGGAATTGTACTCAGCCATTGACTTGAAATCCTGGATCTTTAGGTGAGTCCATTCATAGCGAGCCTTTGGAAGAATCACTGTTGTTTGGTGATTGTATCTGTTTCTCAATGCCTTATAGAGAGCTAACGGATCTTCAACCATTAAATACTCGCTCTTTAGTCCCTCATCAAGATGGTAATGAATAAAGATCATGGCCTTGGCTCGATTTTGAGAGGATGATATGTTTTCTTCCCTAATGGTATCTCCAAGATTTGCTGCTTCCAGATGGATCTTGGTATCCAGTACCCAGGTAGTGTAATTATTCCCAGTAATGTCCAGGGCAGCAAAATCAAGCTTTGCCAAGTTTGCCATTTTCTTTTCTAAAGGAAAAATGGGGTGTGTAAGAACTTGCAATAATATGTATTCTAGAGGAATATATTGTTAGAACTTCTTGTTCTTACAAGTTTTTTATCTTTAGGCCAAAATGATAAGTACTTGAAACTTCAGGCTTGAGATTTACATGACTAATGAGAAAGGGGATTGTACCGCACCATTCTCATCGAAACAAGTATAGGAAGGGTGATTATTCCGCACCACTTTAAACAGCAGGAAAATTTAAATATACAAAGCAGGGTAGACAATTATATCACACCACCTAAAATTGCGATAAAATTTAAGATCCAGAGCATGGTGGGTGATTATTCCACACCACCTAAAATTGCGATAAAATTTAAATATGCAGAGCAGGGTGGGTGATTATTCCACACCACCTAAAATTGCAATAAAATTAAATAGCAAGCAAATTTAAATATGCAGGATAGGGTGGGCAATTATACCGCTCCACTTAAAATTTGCAGTAAAATTAGATCTGCAGTCCAAGATAGGCGATGATATCACACCATCTTGGATTGCATAAATAAACACTGGGTTAGTAGTCAAGAGTTATACCAAATAAGAAATCAAAGATATAAGTAACTGTTAGGTTGAGAACTAGAAGTAGACATGGTGCAAACAGTTCTTCGCGAGGGTATATCCAGTAATTGAGGCAGAGGAAGAAGAAGAACAGTAAAAACCTTAGAAGAAACATTTTTTTTTCTTTTGATGAAGGGAAATGAGAAATGATTAGAGAGTCGTACTGATAACGTGTTATAAATAGGTAAAAGTTAGAGAGATAACCTTTGCTAGGGACATGAGCGAAGCAGTTGCAAAATATTATACCAACACAAAATGATTGCAGAGGAAGTGATGTATATTATTGCTATTAGTTGTTTTTCTCTTCAAGTCTAATTTGATCAAATGTAGTGCTCTATTTATAGAGCAACCTCATAGAAAACAAACAAATGACACTATTAAACTTGTGAAAGGGTTACTATATACATGTGGGCAAACATACCCACCATTTTACAACACTCAATTCATTATCTTATTTTATCATTCATGCTATATTTTCACCCATTATAAATAGTTTAAAAAAACAAACACTTTCTTCCTTCCTACCTATATTCTTGAAATATCCCTAACGGTTTTAAATTGTAAATAAACTAAATAAAAAGAATGATTGAATATTGGAGATTTAAAAAAAAATGGAACAACCACGAGAGTCCCTGCCCAACTCAACCGACAGCAACCACAACCAGGCACCATAACATCTTTTTTTCTCTTTGATGTTAGGAAAGTTACCTTCCTTTCTTTTTCTTCTTATTTCTCTATTCATCTATCTCGTTCTTTGTCCCCCTATTAGACTTGGACTTAAGATTCATTTCCATATTTATCCCAAAATTACAATTCAGAATTAAGGGTTGGAAAGTAGGAAGAAAATCATAGATGGAACTAGAAAATACGTTTGCATGTTGCTGCGGGAACCAGCTGCTTCAAGCATAATCGGAAAATAAAACACACTTAAATTGAATAAATTCAACATAATTATGAACAAACAGAGGGATACATAAGTGAATGAGATCGATAAGATAAGCAGTTTTGCTTTTATATACATTTAAGTGAGTTGGCATATAAACACATTGTACAATGAGTGGGAAGAAACTTTACGTCTTTGATTAAAAAGAGATGGTTTCCAAAAAAGTTTTGTTTCTTTAAGAAAAAGAAGACATAGAAGAAACATTCAAGTAGCTAATTTTGTTACCACAACTGTTCAAAGGCAAAAATAAGCAGAAGATCTGTTTCCATACGAAATTGAAGAAACAGAAGCAAGCTGCATTTTACACATATTTTTCCCCTACAGTTAAGATGGCAAAATATATGTCCTGCAACCTACATACCTCACTTAGCAGTTAGCAAAACACAGAAAAAGTGGTGTTTGAGCATGTAAGTTGTCAAGCACAGATGTTCAAACAAAAAAAATATGCAGCATGGTGTGCATCATTCGATCATGGAGAACGTGGTTGTTTACTTTTTCTAGGATTGGACATCTTCAACACTATAGCAAAAAACATAAATCATAATGAAACAAGGGTAGCCATTATGGATGTCATTCAGGCATGTGTGCAAAAAAAACAAATTGTAATTTACCTATCTTTGTTTTTTTTTGGGCTGAGATTTTGTCCTGAGGGCTGCAATTGGAACTCTATTGGCAAGTTCGATCTTGACAACAACCAGATTGTGGAATTCTGCTGCAATTATGGCAGAATTAATTCTGCTGCAAGGGTAGACATAAACGTGATAGTTATGGAAAAGAGTGCGAAATAGCGGTTGACAGTTTTTCATGACTGCAAACATATAACCAAGAGAAGCAAGTAGGGTTAATAAGATCGACACATGAGAGCATTATTCGGAAGGGAAATTTTACCTGTCAGATTTGTTTGGTTGATTAGGGAACAACGTTCTTTTCGAAGGCTTGGTGGCTGCAATTGATTGGGGTTGTTGATTCAGTGGTTAAGAAGGCGTCAATAGGGCGGGAGTCACTTAACTGATAATTTTGTTTTGCTGCGGTGGGAACATGCATTTATGGTTTAATTAAGGGGATTGTTAGCTCAAAGAGTGGCTCTGTGAACGATGAAATCTGTCTTCCTGAAGTTACTGTTCTAATTTCCAAAAGAGAGCTGAAATGTTTTTTACTAGCCCACCAAATTTGTAAGAATTGGTGGCACCATAAAAGGATCCTTATATCATTCTTGCATCACCAAAGTGTGGCAAGAAACACGAAGTATTTTTTTGATGTATCTTCCTATTATGAGGAAATCGTGTTGATTCGTGTTATCTTCCAAAATAAGATTGATTTTGAACCTGTGCAAAAGGAGTACATTCTTGTGTTAGACAACCATGACTGATAATATCAATCTTGTGAGCAATCTAGAAAATGCATTAGAACTAACGTAATACAGGGTATGAATGAATAACATGGACAGAAAGACACACAAATCATTTAGATTGATATCACTCAACATGAATAAGCTATGCAAAATAAAGAGCGTTTATTGAAAAGTTTTAGTTAACGAAATTTGCAACAATAAAGTATACATTGTTTGTTGGCCAATTTTATAAAACTAAAGCAGAAACGGAAAAAATGCTTCCCAAAGTCTGCAACGTAAACTCCACTGTTGCAGGGGTCAAAAGTAGCCATAGTATAGTGGGGATGGAGACTACCCCAAAATTAATTGCATCAAAGATCAATTCAGGCATCATAGTGATTACAAAAGCATATGCCGGTTGGATAAACGTCTGTGTTTGTGTGTTTACATAAAAGTGAATTGAAGATGTTGCAAATTCAGCCATCAAGTATAAATATATACTGAAATACACCATTTGACATAGAAAAATTTACAATTTATAAACATAAAAATGGTAGTTTCATGACACGTGCACATTTTTTCTATAAAGTTCAAAGTGTTGTAAAATCGACGGTGTGTGCAGTGGAATAAATGAAGCAAGACACAAAATTTACGAGGTTCCTCTACAATCAGGGTGACTGGAGTACGTCCTCGGGGTAGCAATGGTGCTTTCATTATAATTTGGAATAATAGGAGTACAAACATAATTCTCTCTATTATCTCCTCTCCTCTTCCTCTCTTTTCTCTCTTCCTCTTCCGTGTCTTTCCTTACTTTTGATGTTGTGGGGAGTTTGTATTTATATAGAAAATATGAGTCGTGTGAAGCAAGCTTCGATAGACAGTGGAAGGGCAACTTGCCCATTATTTAATTATTTGAGTGGACATCCACTATCTAAAACACTCTCTCTTGGATGGCCACAAGTCTTCGATTGACTCGTTAAAATCTTGATCTTTTTTGGATGCTCCCCCTGATGAGTATCTCCCCCTAATTTCAAATCATTTTGGCTGATCGTTGATCATTATGCTTCAGTCTCTTAGCAAGAAGAGTTGCCGAAAAAAAGTGTTTTACTTGTTGTTAACTTTCTACAGGCTATTTCTTGAACTGGGCTAGAGGGCTTTCTGCTAAACTTGCATCAAAGGTCTGAATTTACTCATTTTATCTGGAGCGGAATTTGATTCAAGAGTGGTGGACACTTGATCTTGAATCGAACTTGTGATTTCTTCAAGATCCTAGGGACTTGTCCTTGAATGAAATGGAACCACGAGCATCTCCATATGACAAGTGATCTTCGGCTCCGTCAGGGATGAATCGGCACGTGTTTTGTTGTGCTTGTCTCCACATGCTTCAATGTATCATTTTCACTTGTCTTATCTATTCCTCTTGCAGAAGTGGTATTTTTCCTAGTTTTTCCCCATGCAGGTTTGGCATCTTCTTTTGCAGTGTTTGCCCTTTGATGCAAGAGTGTAATGCAAACCTTGCATTTGAAAAGTCATTCAGAACATCATTTCTTAGTGACTCATCATGCTTGGCAGCTCAAATCA